CTCTCTCTCTCTCTCTCTCTCTCTCTCTCTCTCTCTAGCATCGCTCTCAGTCGCCAATCTAAATATTCTTATATATGCTCATTTTTATTACATCTATAAGTTCCTCTTTCTTTTTAAAGGATACGTTTGTTGTTTTTTTTATATATGATCTTATAATCCAGTGCTTGTCAACTCACCTTTAACTCTTTGTGTACAGAAAGCAATTCTTCCTTTGAACATAGCCAATTTTGGTCACTCTGTGGTTTCAATATCACAAAATCCTCTATAACGTCACTCATATATAACATAATTGTATAAAATGAATAGAAAAATGAATAAAAATGAATAATGTACATCAATTCAATGAATATCCAGTTTGATCTTAGGTAAGACGGGTTTATTGAGGTCTTGTGTGTAGATTAATATCACGACTGTAAACAACAGCTGGCCCGGGGTTTAATCCGCCAAAATCTTTATTCAAATCCTTATTTTGATTCCAGACCTTTTTTTACGCTCTACACACAGTCAAATTTTGAATCAAAATTTTGAATGTCAAAATTGTGTTGTTTTCATCCTTTTTTAAAACGTGTTTGGGGCCCCTTAAGAAGCCAAACTTTTTCTCATAGCACACTGCAGGGACACGCCCTTCATGGGGAGTGATGAACTGCTAAAAAAAATTGAGCAGTGAAAAAGGCTAGTCAGCAGTCTTTAAAGAGAAAGGGTGCTTTTAACAACAACAAAAACCAAAAAAAAACCAAACATCACAAACAAACAAACAGACAGACAAACAAACAACCCCCCCCCCCCCCCCCGGACAGTGCTACTGACTGAAGTTGTCTTTAGGCCATTCCCAAAGGGGGGACATTGACATGTTCTTATGCACAGTAGAATTGTAAATGGGCTACATTGTCATGCTCATACTGTGCCGAACAAAATAGGGGGAAACTGCTGCTTTTTCTTTCCTTATCCTTACTATCGTCGTTTTTCCTACACCTCTTTTGTATGTTTGTCACTCTCATGTGAACTACTAATTCCGGGGTGCCTTGATATTCGAAGTAGACTTTGTGCTGTTGAGGGGTGAGAAGAGTAAACCTGATTTCCCGTTTGGACTACTCTTTTGACATCCACCCCCTGGCGCTCATAATATGACCTTATGCAGTTGCGAGCGCCGTAAACCCTTAATTAAAAAACAACAACAAACAAACAGATAAACAAACAAACGAACAAATAGAATTAATAAATGGCTCTATCACTTTTTAAACTTTTTTTTTTTAAAAAGCAGATTGGCATCTTCGTGCTCGGCACTTTCTTAGAGGTAACGCGCAATGTGTAATTAATTTATTAATCGTTTATCATTTTTACCTAAACACGTATTCTTCCTTGTGCATTTAGTTTTTTCGTCTTTCCTTTCATCCCCGAAGGTAGACGACCTAATGCGAGTGGAGCTAGACCGTTTGAGATACGCCATAGACCACCAAAAGAAAGGCAAAGAACCGACCGGAAAGAAAGGAAAGGACAAGACAGGTGGCAAACGCAAGAAAGCCAACAAGGACCTCACAAAAGACCGGACAATAGACGACTTGTACGAGGAACTGGTCACTGGGGAGATCATCATACCGAGCCAACACATCCGGATAAACGACTTTCTGGGGGAACACTTCTACGTCGGTTGTACTATGGAGGTATGTTCTTTAATTCTCATACGGGGTGCATGTTCTTTAATTCTTATACGGGGTGCATGTTCTTTAATTCTTATACGGGGTGCATGTTCTTTAATTCTTATACGGGGTGCATGTACTTTAATTCTTATACGGGGTGCATGTACTTTAATTCTTATACGGGGTGCATGTACTTTAATTCTTATACGGGGTGCATGTACTTTAATTCTTATACGGGGTGCATGTACTTTTATTCTTATACGGGGTGCATGTACTTTAATTCTTATACGGGGTGCATGTACTTTAATTCGTACACGGGGGTGCACATTGTGGGTGGGATCGGGTCGGGTTGGGTCGGGTCGGGTCGAGTCGACATACAACCAAACATACAGACAGACAGACTGGGAGAGGAAGAGTGAGAGGAGAAAAAGAGACGGGGTGGTGGCTGAGGGGGATATTAATGGATAATAGTGGTTCTAAATGTGAGGTGTGTCGGCAATCTTTCATTCTGGTGGGGTTTGGTTTTATTTATATCGTTTTGTTTCGTTGTTTTTTTCTCTCTTGATTCCCCCTAGAACGAAGGACTGGAGCCATTGCCTTCCCTGGCCGTTGTGCGTCGCCTCATTACGGAGCTAGCGCTGATCCCCCTGGGCTCAGCGGCCGTGCATGAAAGGGCTCCTCTCAACAGGTAGTTTTAGTAGTAGATTTCTTCCAGAGACTATAAATCTGGTAGTCCTAGTTAGTGGTGGGCATATCGAAATCAAAATATCGATATATCGATATTTTTACACCTATCAATACCGTATCGGTGAGGAAAATATCGATATTTCGATATTTTGATATGCTCTCCACCAAAGACTACATAACAAGATAGTTCATTCCTCTCTTTGAGCCAAATAAAAAAGTGTCCTCAAAAATCCCGTGGCACCCCTCTTCAAAAAAGTGCGGATTTTGCGAACAAAGTTACCCTGCTTGTGCGAAAAACAATAAAAGCGAAACTAACGAACTGTGCTTTTCCTATTTTTCTTCTGGAGAAACGAAAGAGAGCTTCAAAACAAAGACTGCAGCGCCGTCTCAAGCAATGCGCGGACTTCCGTGGACAATTTTTCGGTAGAGTGAACTATCTTGTTATGAACGATCTTTGCTACCACTCAGCACCGCATTTCCAGAAATTATCCGACTCATTTTATGTTTCCCCCCACATTAACGCACACACACACACACACACACACACACACACACACACACACACACACACACACACACACGCACATCAATTAAAAAAACAAAACAACAAACAACAACACACAAACAAAAATAGAAGACAGCCGTGTTTCGTGCGTAAAATATCGACCAAACTCGATAATTATTGATATATCGATGTATTTGATGGCGAATCTCAATTCATCGATAATAATTTTGTACTATCGAAAAATATCAATCAATATTTTTTGTGTAAAAATATTCATATCGTATCGAATTCGAAATTGCTGATATCGCCCATTACTAGTACTAGAAGGCAGTGTCCATTGGAGACTCGGTTCGTTTCAGTCCGGTTCGGTTTCTGAGAGCTTCAGGGCACACTATGAACAAACCCTCTACCTCAAACCGATCGTGACCCGCTATTTCTTGGGTGCCTTGATAGCTGAAGCAGACTTTGTGCTGCTGAAGCTAGAGAGGTAAGCAGAGTAAGTCTGATTCCCTGTAAGGACTTCTTTGTTGACATCCACCCCTGGGTGCTCATATGACCTTAAGCAGTTGCGAGCGCCGTAAAACTATCAAGGCACCCCAGAAATAGCGGGTCACAAGAGTGTGACTAACATGCAAAAGAAGAAGAGGGAAAATGACAATAGTCAGGATTAGGAAAGAAAAAGCAGCAGCTCCCTGTTGCAGTTCAGGCACAGTTATGAACATAACATTGATGAATCATCCCATTTTCAATTAAAATTCTACTATGCCTTAGAACTCGAGATGTTAATGTCTCTCCTTTTGGGAATGGCCTAAAGACACTTCTGTCAGTAGCACCGACCCGGGGAGTCTGAGTGGTATACAAACATGGTCATCCCAGCAGACACACGAGGATACTCGTGTTGCCGCCAATTGAATTCCAGATTTTTATTTTAAAAATTCTTTTAAATGTTAAAAGGTACACTACTGCATTGCATGGGAACCCAAACTTTTGCCCAATTCGCACGGGAATACTCAAATCACATATTCAAATTTTTTGCAAAAAACAAAATGAACAAAACTCGAAAAAAGCTGGTGAAAAAGGCGGAGATCCCAATGATCACACCTCAGACGTCCATACCTCCATGCAATGTTTTTGCCTTTTTCTGGATGATTTTTCGATATTTTCTCCACATTTTCCCGGCGTTTTCGTGATGCTTTCTCCATAGTTTATCAGTGTTTTCTTTATGGTTTTTTCTTTATTTTCTCGGTTTTTCTCTATTTTTGTCGACGTTTTACTCAACTATCTCGATTCTTTCTCGATTTTTTTTCTATGTTTTCTATGTGTTTTCCTATTGTTTTCAACGTTATTTTCCATGTTTAAAAAAAAAACACTTTTCTCCATGTTTTCTCCATGTTTCACCATGGGTTTTTTTCGATGGTTTCTCCATGTTCCTCCACGTTTTCTCGGTGTTTACTCTCACCCCAGGTCCATGCTGATCGCCGGGCTGCGGGAGACAGGCAAGAAGATGTTGGTTCACAGTATCTGTTACGAGGTGGGCGCCAATTTGTTCAACCTGACACCCTCAAATCTGGCGGGAAAATATGAGGGGAAAAAAGGACAGCAGATGCTCATGCACATGATCATGAAGGTCAGTTTAGTTGTTTGGGGTTTTTGTGTTGTTGTTGTTGTTGTTGTTGTTGTTGTTGTTGTTGTTGTTGTTGCTGTTGTTGTACCCTTTTTGAAAGTATCACATCAACATTATAACGCTAATTTATTTAGTGCAGAGCATCAACCCTAGAACCTAATTTTGCCCTCTTTTTAAGCGCTTTCTGTCACAGAATCGATTTTTCCAACGATAAATGCCATTCTGATTGCATCAAGATGGTATTTGTCATACATAGAATGGCAATTATTATTGGAAGTATGGATTCCGTGATAGAGCGCGTAGGTAAAAAAAAACACACAAGAAAAAAGGGTGCAGCACAAGAAAAAAAAAACATAACAGGCAGAAACAGAAGGCAAGAAACAATTAATTCAACTTACCTGGCGCCCTATAACGTCAACCCACTTCATGATGGTCAGAGGTCAGCAGAAAAAAAAGTTTAAAGGATGTGGCGGATCATGAAAAGATTATTGTATAAATTCATTTCAGTATGATCTCTAGGCGACCTCGTCATCATCAATAGAGGCTATAGTTTTATACTGTTTCCGTCATGATAAAAGATTAATCATAAACATTGTTCATCTTCGGCTATCAACATTATAATGAAGATATCAAAATGTATGCAGACTACTTCAACCGTGCCTATCAGGACTAGCTCGGGATGGCAGAGACACCGGATCCCATGCAGCGTAAAGGGGAAAAACAACCACTTCACACATGGTTCAAACCATTATAATCTATCTATACATATTATATTTGTGAGAGTCCGTCACTTTCGCCGTCTAAAACTTCGGAACCACTTAACTTTCGAATGTTACAAAATTAATGGTGGTTCAGAATAATTTGAAGAGAGCACAGTTTTATTGAGGAGTCTGAAGTCACTGTAGTTTAATTCTAAGTTTTCACTAGTTTTGTTTAGATCTAATCTTGGGAAAGTCCGTCTTCTAAGACGTCATTGTAAGCAAGTGAGATTTCCGTTCTTTAGCCGTGCGCATTGTTTCCACACTTTTGAAATTCTGGAGTGTACAACCACGAAAACGAATAGAGAATCAATCTATACATCACTATATCTAAACCTTCTAATTTTTTGCATCTCTCAGGATTTATGGCTCCATTCCAGTAGAGTGTAAATATAGTAGGCCAATGGCTTTCAGTTGATATTAATGCACCGATCATTCCTCGGAAGGGGGCCAAGCTAGTGTCTTATAATATGTGACTAGGCGAAGAGCGTAACAATTACTTGACAGACACATAATAATACAATTCATTCCTCCATTATGGAATCGAACTCAAAACCTTTGTACATAACATAGGACAGCCTTGTAACTTCACAACCACGCCAGCAGAGTCAAACAATAGCCACCAGGTTGTGTTGCCATGACAACAAAATACAAGGCGCTTTTTCAGAACGTCTAATTTTCAGGCTGATTCCTAGGGAAATTTTTGTTTTTATTCAAAGGAGCTTAGTGGGTCTATTCAAACATTGTAAACCAGATTTCCTTGTAAAGCATGCGGCTCTTCATAATGGAGGTATTTTTACTTAGAATGTGCTATAGCATGGCATTAAAGAGCATTCACTTATTTATTGTCAACATTTCTATACCTCTCAAACACGTCCGACAAAACGATAAATGCTTAACTTATTACGTATGCTTCTATGGTGTGCTGGAAAGTGTCTGGGTTAGTATGATAACCATACTAATAATACAGACGAAGTAATAATCACGATAATAATATAGGCTACATGAAGTAATTACCAAGAAAATATAAGTGAAATAATAACTACAATAATATAGGTCAAATAATTACAAAACACTGCAGATAAAATAATGATCATAAAAATAGAGATTAATTTATTACCATAATAATATAGATGAAATAATAACAATAATTCTATACTATGTGAAACAATTATCATCATATCATGTCTATATAGATGACGTAATAAGCACAACAACATAGATGACGACCCGTGTCTGTCCCCAGGTTGGCAAAGCCATGGAGCCCTCGGTGTTCTGGGTGGGCGATTGTGAACAATTGTTCCTCAGCAAAAAGGACAAGAAAGACCCCGCAAAACCGGCGCGATGGGCCAGCATCTTGCCGAAAACCATCAAGGTTTGTCTAGGAACTCTTCTGTCACATTTGTTTTTTATCGGTGACATCGGTTACATGTTTCCATTGGAGCACTAAAATATAACGTTATCGTGCCATCTTATTATTATTATTGCCTTGTCTTGTCTTATCTTATCTTATCTTATCTTATCTTATCTTATCTTATCTTATCTTATCTTATCTTATCTTATCTTATCTTATCTTATCTGCCTGCCTGCCTGCCTGCCTGCCTACCAGTCTGTCCGTCTGTCTGTCTGTCTGTCTGTCTGTCTGTCTGTCTGTCTGTCTGTCTGTCTGTCTGTCTGTCTGCCTGTCTGTCTGCCTGTCTGTCTGTCTGTCTGTCTGTCTGTCTGGTCGGCTGTCTGTCTGTCTGTCTTACATTTCCCAACCACAATATGGCCGTTATTTTGTCCATGTGCTTCTCTTTAAGAAACTACAATAACATTTTGTTTCTTTCAAAATGTTGGACTCAGTTCATTTGAACAGCTTGCCACCGAGGGCGGTGCTACTGACTGTAGTTGTCTTTAGACCATTCCCAAAAAAGGGGGGGGGGGGGGGGGTAACATGTTCTTGCACACAATAGAATTGTAAATGGGCTGATTTATCAATGTCATGCTCATACTGTGCCGGAACAACATAGGAGGAACTGCTGCATTTTCTTTCCTCATCCTTACTATTGTCATTTTTCCTCTACTTCTTTTGTTTGTTTATGACTCTCTTGTGAACTGCTATTTCCGGGGTGCCTTGATAGTCGAAGCAGACTTTGTGCTGTTGAGGCTTGAGAGGTGAGCAGAGTATGCCTGATTCCCCGTTTGAACTTCTCTGTTGACATTCACCCCTTGGCGCTCATATGATCTTATGCAGTTGCGGGTGTCATAAAACCTTAGTAAAACCAAAGATCGTACATAACAAGATTGTTTACTCAGCCAAAAAAGTGTCCGCGGAAGTCCGTGCATTGCTTCAGATGGCGCTGCAGTCTTTGACTTGAAGTTCTCTTTCGTTTCTCTAGAAAAAGAAGAAGAGTAGCTCGGTTTGTTAGTTTCACTTTTATTGTCTTTCACACAAGTAGGGTGACTCTGTTCGCAAAGTTCGCGCTTTCACGAAGAGGGCGCCACCCAAATTTTGAGGACACTTTTTTAATTGGCTCAAACTCAAAGAGGGAAGTGAACTATCTTGTTAAGTACGATCTTTGCTAAAAACTAAAACTAAGGACGGGTTGCTCTCGATATTCTCATAACCCAGAAAATCAAGAACGGTGACCGCATGATGCTGGTGGGGACCACGAGCCGACCGTACCTGGCCAAGCCCAAACCCCTGACCAAATGCTTCCAGCGGGTGGTGTTCGTGCCTCGACCAGACTACGCCAGTCGTCTGCTCCTGTGGAAATACTTCATCGCCAAACACTGCGGCAGTCAGATGGTCTCCCACGACCTGGACATTTCCTCCCTGACCAAGGTGATTGAGTTGCGTCTGTAAATGGTATACGCCTTCGTCGACTCTGTAATGTTCGCGTGTTTGTTTGTTTCTTTGTTTGTTTGTTTGTTTGTTCGCTTGTTTGATTGAGCGAAGAGAAGTGCATTTGCGCCATGATGGCTAATTTAGTGCAAGGGAGAAGTTGGATATTTTATATTATGCGTAGTATATCAACACACACACACACACACACACACACACACACACACACACACACACACACACACACACACACACACACACACACACACACACACACACGCTCGCGCACACGCACGCACACACACGCATATATATATATATATATATATATATATATATATATATATATATATATATATAGAGAGAGAGAGAGAGAGAGAGAGAGAGAGAGAGAGAGAGAGAGAGAGAGAGAGAGAGAGAGAGAGAGAGAGAGAGAGAGTATATACAATATACATGTATGTACATCATAATATAGAAAGTTTGTAACTTGTGGACCACGTCCACAATTATCTGGGTCACAACATTTGTAGGGCCAGGGTGTAGTTGCTGGGATACATCTTGCCATGAAATTTGGGGAGGAGCCGGACATAACGTGGTACGATTCTAAACACGCACATGACAATGGGCGACTCAAATCGCGAATTCAAAAAGCACGCTAGAAACGAAATGGAAAAGGACCAAATGCAGGTACAAAACCCAGCATGCAGTTCACACTCATTTTGACCCATGTGTGACAAAGTATGGTGAGTGTTGAACGTACTTGTTATCACTCTATCCTAGCTAATGCAAGTGTCTTACACCACCCTTGACACAATTTAGATCGCTCAGAGGGCCAGCTTCCCACCCTGCAAGTCAGGGCTAACCGGGATATTAGATCCCGGGCTGAGGGGAATACAATATATCCCAACAGACAGACTGAGAGACACAGTTAGATGCTCCCTACTCGGGATCAAACTCGGGTATTGCGTTGGACAGCGAAGTGCCTAACCGCTGTAAAACAAACTCTGGTTATCCTGGCCAAATAGTATGTAAGTGTATGAGTTTCATGAACCTATCAACACTGTTGGCTTGTTTAAGAGGCGGGTATCTTGACCAAGGAAACGTGTACTTTTAGAGAGGCCACCTTACAAAAATGTGTCATTTTGAATCAGTTTAATATTGAGTTGATAAGAAACACATCAACACAATAATGGTCACGTTGTAAAGCATTATACCTCCAATATACCCCAATATAACAGGAAAATTAGATCCAACCTCTTGATACAACCTTACTTTTATATCAAAGGCATTACACCGTCATATACCTCGTGGCTTTTATTGAAATACCTGCGGATATATCACTCCATCTTTTTACTGAACAATTGCAAAGATGAAAGTCTGTACCTCTCCACCGCTGCCCTCTCCCCCCTCTTCCTCATCCCCCCTGTTTTCCGTAACAATGTACATTATGCCTTATTTCTGATCACTCAGGTAACCAATGGCTACACAGCGTTTGCCATTCAAAGCGCATGCGCGGAAGTGCTCACGGAAACCCGGATGAAGCGACTGAACCGTCGCGGGAACTTGAGGGCGTCTGAGTTCATTGAACGTATCGCCACGTACGAACCCATCTATGTGGAGGAGGAGGCGGCAGTTCACGACTGGTACATGAAGACGCCACTGGCTAAGAAAAGGCTCAAGAGACGACAGGAGGAAGAGGGATACACAGGCGGAAAGGGGAAAAAGAAAAAGAAAGGGAAAGGAAAGAAGAAGAAGAAGTAGCACTGATCATTGTAGTGCTGTTCAATTTGAAACATTAAAGATAACTCAGCTTATTGCTATTTTAAGTTCTTTAAAAAAGGATGAAAGAAAACTAGAAAAAAAAGTGTTATGAGCAGAGTGAAACTGAGACTGTCTCAAAAGTGTGTTTTATTTTTGTTGAAACGGAAAAACAATTGTTCTAACATGATGACATAGACTGGCAGACTAAATTAACCCAAAAAATCGAAAATCGACAAAAGACGATACTGTTTCTCAATAAACACATTGTGTCACTTTTGGATCTTGAAATGCCATTGTGCCTTCTTTGATAGAATATGATGATGTCTGAAGGAACATACGGAGGAGTCCGCTTAAACCGAACTTGGTTTATCCGAAAACAGCGGTCAGCCGAAACAAAATAAAATATCCGATTTAAAAAAAAAATGTTGGTCTTTGTATTTGAGCAACCTTTCTAAACCGATTTCCAAACAAAACCGAAGAAAACCGGAGGGTACTGCAGATTTGGTTTTAGCGAACTCCATCGTATAACCTATTTGGTACAAGCCGGCGTGTATAGATTTGATGATGCAGCTAATGACTGTCGTTCAACAGCAAATTTATTTTGAATTTTAACAAATAATCAACCCCTCTAGAAACACTTACCAAATCAAGACAGACCCAAGAAAATCAGCATCTTTGTGTGTGTGTGTGTGTGTGTGTATTTGTGTGTGTGTCTGTGTGTGTGTCTGTGTGTGTGTGTGTGTGTGTGTCTGTGTGTGTGTGTGTGTG